AGTCACTGGACCTCTGTCGCACCAAAAATCTGTCCATAGAGCTCTGTACCTCATGTTCCTTTAAGATTTTCCTAAAGTGAATCACAACATTGTCATTGTAAGTCACCAGCACGGCTTGCAATAGCTGTGTCAGGGTGATTTTCTTCCATGAAGGTTTGCACGTCAACCCACTTTGCACACATTTCCTTAATCTTTGAAGAAGGCAACTTCCTCAATTTCTCTCTCCCCTCTTCTGAAGCAGTTTTCTCATTTGTGGCCTCTTGCTGTTGCAGATGCTCTTGCAGCTCATCAGTGGTTAGTTCATCGTCGTCCTCCACCAACTCTTCCACATCCTCCCCACTAACCTCCAACCCCAAGGACTTACCCAATGCCACAATAGATTCCACAACTGGCATAAGCTCCTGAGGGTTAGCCCCAAACCCTTCAAAATCCCTCTCTTGTACACATTGTGGCCACAATTTCCTCCAAGCAGAGTTCAAGGTCCTGTTAGTCACTTCCTCCCAAGCCTTACCTATAAGGTTTATGCAATTGAGGATACTAAAGTGATCTTTCCAAAACTCTCTTAGGGTCAGTCGAGTGTCTGAGGTCACTTCAAAGCACTTTTGAAACATTGCTTTGGTGTAGTTTTTTGAAATTTGAAATGACCTGCTGGTCCATGGGCTGGAGGAGAGGAGTGGTATTAGGAGGCAAAAACTACTTCAATAAAACTCAGCTCCCCCGAAATTCGCTCTGGCAAGTCTGAAGGATGAGTAGGAGCATTGTCTATTACCAGAAGGCACTTAAGGTTCAATTTATTTTCCAGGAGGTAATTTTTCACAGTGGGGCCAAACACATCGTAAAACCAGTCATAGAAAATGTTCCTAGTGACCCATGCCTTACTGTTTGCCCTCCACATCACACACAAATTAGCCTTGACGACATTGTTTTTCCTGAACACACTGGGAGTTTCAGAGTGATACACGAGTAGAGGTTTCACTTTGCAATCCCCACTAGTATTAATACACAACATTAAAGTATTATTAAAGGATTATGTGGAGTAAAATAAAGATTGGATGTGAAAAGTGGGTTATAATAAGCGTGTATGCACCTGGAGAAGAGAAGTGTAGAGGAGAGAGAGAGATTTTGGGAAATGTTGAGTGAATGCGTGGGGAGTTTTGAATCAAGTGTGAGAGTAATGGTGGTTGGGGATTTCAATGCTAAAGTGGGTAAAAATGTTATGGAGGGAGTAGTAGGTAAATTTGGGGTGCCAGGGGTAAATGTAAATGGGGAGCCTTTAATTGAGCTATGTGTAGAAAGAGATTTGGTAATAAGTAATACATATTTTATGAAAAAGAGGATAAATAAATATACAAGGTATGATGTAGCACGTAATGAAAGTAGTTTATTAGATTATGTATTGGTGGATAAAAGGTTGATGGGTAGGCTCCAGGATGTACATGTTTATAGAGGGGCAACTGATATATCGGATCATTATTTAGTTGTAGCTACAGTTAGAGTAAGAGGTAGATGGGAAAAGAGGAAGGTGGCAACAACAAGTAAGAGGGAGGTGAAAGTGTATAAACTAAGGGAGGAGGAAGTTCGGGTGAGATATAAGCGACTATTGGCAGAAAGGTGGGCTAGTGCAAAGATGAGTAGTGGGGGGGGTTGAAGAGGGTTGGAATAGTTTTATAAATGCAGTATTAGAATGTGGGGCAGAAGTTTGTGGTTATAGGAGGGTGGGGGCAGGAGGAAAGAGGAGTGATTGGTGGAATGATGAAGTAAAGGGTGTGATAAAAGAGAAAAAGGTAGCTTATGAGAGGTTTTTACAAAGCAGAAGTGTTATAAGAAGAGCAGAGTATATGGAGAGTAAAAGAAAGGTAAAGAGAGTGGTGAGAGAGTGCAAAAGGAGAGCAGATGATAGAGTGGGAGAGGCGCCTCACTGTCAAGAAATTTTAATGAAAATAAGAAAAAATTTTGGAGTGAGTTAAACAAGTTAAGAAAGCCTAGGGAAAGTATGGATTTGTCAGTTAAAAACAGAGTAGCGGAGTTAGTAGATGGGGAGATGGAGGTATTAGGTAGATGGCGAGAATATTTTGAGGAACTTTTAAATGTTAAGGAAGAAACAGAGGCAGTAATTTCATGCACTGGTCAGGGAGGTATACCATCTTTTAGGAGTGAAGAAGAGCAGAATGTAAGTGTGGGGGAGGTACGTGAGGCATTACGTAAAATGAAAGGGGGTAAAGCAGCTGGAACTGATGGGATCATGAGAGAAATGTTAAAAGCAGGGGGGATATAGTGTTGGAGTGGTTGGTACTTTTGTTTAATAAATGTATGAAAGGGGAAGGTACCTAGGGATTGGCGGAGAGCATGTATAGTCCCTTTATATAAAGGGGAAGGGGACAAAAGAGACTGTAAAAATTATAGAGGAATAAGCTTACTGAGTATACCAGGAAAAGTGTACGGTAGGGTTATAATTGAAAGAATTAGAGGTAAGACAGAATGTAGGATTGCGGATGAGCAAGGAAGTTTCAGAGTGGGTAGGGGATGTGTAGATCAAGTGTTTACATTGAAGCATATATGTGAACAGTATTTAGATAAAGGTAGGGAAGTTTTTATTGCATTTATGGATTTAGAAAAGGCATATGATAGAGTGGATAGAGGAGCAATGTGGCAGATGTTGCAAGTATATGGAATAGGTGGTAAGTTATTAAATGCTGTAAAGAGTTTTTATGAGGATAGTGAGGCTCAGGTTAGGGTGTGTAGAAGAGAGGGAGACTACTTCCTGATAAAAGTAGGTCTTAGACAGGGATGTGTAGTGTCACCATGGTTGTTTAATATATTTATAGATGGGGTTGTAAAGGAAGTAAATGCTAGGGTGTTCGGGAGAGGGGTGGGATTAAATTTTGGGGAATCAAATTCAAAATGGGAATTGACACAGTTACTTTTTGCTGATGATACTGTGCTTATGGGAGATTCTAAAGAAAAATTGCAAAGGTTAGTGGATGAGTTTGGGAATGTGTGTAAAGGTAGGAAGTTGAAAGTGAACATAGAAAAGAGTAAGGTGATGAGGGTGTCAAATGATTTAGATAAAGAAAAATTGGATATCAAATTGGGGAGGAGGAGTATGGAAGAAGTGAATGTTTTCTGATACTTGGGAGTTGACGTGTCGGCGGATGGATTTATGAAGGATGAGGTTAATCATAGAATTGATGAGGGAAAAAAGGTGAGTGGTGCATTGAGGTATATGTGGAGTCAAAAAACGTTACCTATGGAGGCAAAGAAGGGAATGTATGAAAGTATAGTAGTACCAACACTCTTATATGGGTGTGAAGCTTGGGTGGTAAATGCAGCAGCGAGGAGATGGTTGGAGACAGTGGAGATGTGTGGTGTAAATATTATGCAGAAAATTCGGAGTGTGGAAATTAGGAAAAGGTGTGGAGTTAATAAAAGTATTAGTCAGAGGGCAGAAGAGGGGTTGTTGAGGTGGTTTGTCATTTAGAGAGAATGGATCAAAGTAGAATGACATGGAAAGCATATAAATCTATAGGGGAAGGAAGGCGGGGTAGGGGTCGTTCTCGAAAGGGTTGGAGAGAGGGGGTAAAGGAGGTTTTGTGGGCAAGGGGCTTGGACTTCCAGCAAGCGTGCGTGAGCGTGTTAGATAGGAGTGAATGGAGACGAATGGTACTTGGGACCTGACGATCTGTTGGAGTGTGAGCAGGGTAATATTTAGTGAAGGGATTCAGGGAAACCGGTTATTTTCATATAGTCGGACTTGAGTCCTGGAAATGGGAAGTACAATGCCTGCACTTTAAAGGAGGGGTTTGGGATATTGGCAGTTTGGAGGGATATGTTGTGTATCTTTATATGTGTATGCTTCTAGACTGTTGTATTCTGAGCACCTATGCAAAAGCAGTGATAATGTGCGAGTGTGGTGAAAGTGTTGAATGATGATGAAAGTATTTTCTTTTTGGGGATTTTCTTTCTTTTTTGGGTCACCCTGCTTTGGTGGGAGACGGCCGACTTGTTGAAAAAAAAAAAATTAAAGTAACCCTGTCCTTCATAGGCTTGTGTCCTGGGAGTGCTTTTTTCTCCTGTGTAATGTAGGTCCTGTTTGGCATTTTCTTCCAAAACAGGCCTGTTTTATCACAAACACTTGTTGAAGTTGCAATCCTTCAGCCTCTATGTACCCCTGGAGTTCCTGCACATATTTTTCAGCCGCTTTTTTGTCCGAACTGGCAGCCTCACCATGCCTTGTCACACTGTATGCCACTATGATTCTTAAATCTCTCAAACCAACCTTTGCTGGCCTTAAATTCACTCACATCACCACTAGTTGCCGGCATTTTTTTAATTAAATCGTCATGCAACTGCTTTCCTTTTCATATATGATCGCTTGAGAGATGCTATCTCCTGATATCTGTTTTTCGTTTATCAACACCAGTAACAGTCTCTCGACATCTTCGAGTATTTGCAATGTGTGTTTTGAAAAGATACTTGCATCTTTTGCAACAACAGCTTCCTTGATTGCCTTTTTGTTGGCCAAGAGAGTAGCGATGGTTGATTGGGGTTTGTTGTACAACCTGGCCAGCTCAGAGACACGTACTCCACTCTCATATTTTGTGATTATCTCTTTCTTCATTTCAATTGTAATTTTCACCCTTTTTACCACAGGGTTGGCACTAGAAGCTTTCTTTGGGCCCATGGTGGCTTATTTAGCATTTACAAGCACTAAAAACTGGAATAATACGAAATGTACCAAATGTATGCGTGGCACACTAACTGAAGGCAGGGCAGCTAAGGCGCGCTCAGGCCAGAGGGACGCGTGGATGCATTCGGGATGAATGATGTAAGTTGAGTTTTTGTTCGTATGTCGGGGGAAATTTTTTACGCTGAAACACTTTGTAAGTCGATTTTATCGTTAGATGAGGCCTTCGTAAGTCGGGGGTTCACTGTATTAGAGATTAAAAATTGTGAATGGCTAAAGCATATGTTTATGTAAATATATATTTTTGCTATTCCAGATGAAATTCCATTGTACGATCAGCCATTGGAGATGAGTGGCAAGCGGGATCGAAAAAAGGTTGAACGGTTTGTACAGGAGGCGAAAAAGGAGGAAGTGGAACCCACAGGAACAGGAGAAGCTCTTGGAGATATTCCCTTCATTGAGTCCATGATCTCTGTAAGTTTTATTCTCAGTTTGGTTTGTAAGAAAGATACCTATCTAAATGGTAATTATAAACTTCTCATTCTCTTCGTCATTTTATTCTATCCTCAGTCTCTCTGGTATCTTTTTATTTTCCTTTCCCATCTTACTCTTCTCACTTCTCTCTCACTCCCTTTTAATCTTCCCTTGATTGGACCTGCTTTTCCCATCCTTGGATTTAAATTGAATACCTTCCTTACCTAAGACACAATTTGACTACAGGTTCACGCATTTACCCTATAATGTAATAATAATCATCCCTCTCTTCTTCGTTTACGAGTGAATATAACATTTGGTAACAGAAGTTAATTTTTTATAAGTGATCATTATTTAGCAATTTGCATATTTTTCTGGCAGTATTAAAATTTCTGGCAAGAGCATATCCAGTAAATACTGTGGTAAAGGAAATAGGCATATAGTTTTTGATCATGCTGGCAGTGCTTTGTACCTGCTTTCATAATATACTTAAATGCATGCCTTTTTTCTGTTTTGAATCATGTTTGTGAAAATTTGTTAAATCAGTTTAATTAGCTGGTTAGGGTTTAATTACTGTGCTTAATCTTGTTTCATTTTTAATTGAGTTTATTTTTGCTAATTTAGTTGCAATGAAAAGTTGTCTGCGGATAAAATTTGCAAAGAAGCTTCAATTTTTTTTTTCTTTTTTTTTTTTTTTTTTTTTTTTTTTTTTTTTTGTAATAAAGCAAAGTGTTGTCTTACAGAAAATGTCAGCAGATGAGCTTAAAGTCTTACATAGGGTTGCCTACAGTCGACCAGGAAGTAGTAATGAAATAAAGAAAAACCTTCGCAAATTCAATGGCTTTCCATTCACAAAAGAAGACAAAAAATACCAAAGCAAGTTAAGCATTGTGGAAAGGTGAGTGTTCCTTCAGTACAGGATCATGCACTGTTGCTTACTGAACATATTGCAAAGTTCTTTGAAATAAAATAAATGAATTTTAGTGAGGTATGCTAACATAGGGAGATAATGAATGTATAACAGCCTAAAACTGGGATACTTAAATGTGCGTGGATGTAGTGCGGATGACAAGAAACAGATGATTGCTGATGTTATGAATGAAAAGAAGTTGGATGTCCTGGCCCTAAGTGAAACAAAGCTGAAGGGGGTAGGGGAGTTTCAGTGGGGGGAAATAAATGGGATTAAATCTGGAGTATCTGAGAGAGTTAGAGCAAAGGAAGGGGTAGCAGTAATGTTAAATGATCAGTTATGGAAGGAGAAAAGAGAATATGAATGTGTAAATTCAAGAATTATGTGGATTAAAGTAAAGGTTGGATGCGAAAAGTGGGTCATAATAAGCGTGTATGCACCTGGAGAAGAGAGGAATGTAGAGGAGAGAGAGAGATTTTGGGAGATGTTAAATGAATGTATAGGAGCCTTTGAACCAAGTGAGAGAGTAATTGTGGTAGGGGACCTGAATGCTAAAGTAGGAGAAACTTTTAGAGGGTTGTGTGGTAGGTAAGTTTGGGGTGCCAGGTGTAAATGATAATGGGAGCCCTTTGATTGAACTTTGTATAGAAAGGGGTTTAGTTATAGGTAATACATATTTTAAGAAAAAGAGGATAAATAAGTATACAAGATATGATGTAGGGCGAAATGACAGTAGTTTGTTGGATTATGTATTGGTAGATAAAAGACTGTTGAGTAGACTTCAGGATGTACATGTTTATAGAGGGGCCACAGATATATCAGATCACTTTCTAGTTGTAGCTACACTGAAGTAAAAGGTAGATGGGATACAAGGAGAATAGAAGCATCGGGGAGAGAGAGGTGAAGGTTTATAAACTAAAAGAGGAGGCAGTTAGGGTAAGATATAAACAGCTATTGGAGGATAGATGGGCTAATGAGAGCATAGGCAATGGGGTCGAAAGAGGTAGGGGTGGGTTTAAAAATGTAGTGTTAGAGTGTTCAGCAAAGTTTGTGGTTACAGGAAAGGGGGTGCAGGAGGGAAGAGGAGCAAATTGGTGGAATGATGATGTAAAGAGAGTAGAAAGGGAAAAAAAAGTTAGCATATGAGAAGTTTTTTACAAAGTAGAAGTGATGAAAGGGAGGGAAGAGTATATGGAGAAAAAGAGAGAGGTTAAGAGAGTGGTGAAGCATGTAAAAAGAGAGCAAATGAGAGAGTGGGTGAGATGTTATCAACAAATTTTGTTGAAAATAAGAAAAAGTTTTGGAGTGAGATTAACAATTTAAGAAGCCTAAGGAACAAATGGATTTGTCAGTTAAAAATAGGAGGAGAGTTATTAAATGGAGAGTTAGAGGTATTGGGGAAGATGGAGGGAATATTTTGAGGAAATTGTTAAATTTTTATGAAAAATAGGGAAGCTGAAATTTCGTGTATAGGACAAGGAGGAATAACATCTTGTAGGAGTTGAGGAAGAGCCAGTTGTGAGTGTGGGGGAAGTTCGTGAGGCAGTGGGTAAAATGAAAGGGGGTAAGGCACCCGGGGATTGATGGGATAAAAATAGAATGTTAAAAGCAGGTGGGGGTATAGTTTTGGAGTGGTTGGTGCAATTATTTAAATAAATGTATGGAAGAGGGTAAGGTACCTAGGGATTGGCAGAGAGCATGCATAGTTCCTTTGTATAAAGGCAAAGGGATAAAAAAAGAGTGCAAAAATTTAGGGGATAATCTGCTGAGTATACCTGGTAAAGTGTATGGTAGAGTTATTATTGAAAGAATTAAGAGTAAGACAGAGAATAGATAGCAAGATGAACAAGGAGGCTTTAGAAGGGAGGGGGTGTGTGGACCAGGTGTTTACAGTGAAACATCTAAGTGACAGTATTTAGATTTAAAGGGTAAAGAGTCTTTGTGGCATTTATGGATTTGGAAAAGGCGTATGACAGGGTGGATAGGGGGGCAATGTGGCAGATGTTGCAAGTGTATGGTGTAGGGTAGGTTACTGAAAGCAGTGAAGAGTTTTTACGAGGATAGTAGCTCTAGTTAGAGTATGTAGGAAAGAGGGAAATTATTTCCCAGTAAAAGTAGGGCCCTTTGACAAGGATGTGTGATGTCACCGTGGTTTTTTAATATATTTATAGATGGGGGTTTTAAGAGAAGTAAATGCGAGGGTCTTGGCAAGAGGCGTGGATTTTAAAAAATAAAGAATCACACACAAAGTGGGAGTTGTCACAGCTGCTCTTTGCTGATGACACTGTGCTCTTGGGAGATTCTGAAGAGAAGTTGCAGAGATAGGTGGAATGAATTGGTAGGGTGTGCAAAAGAAGAAATTAAAGGTGAATACAGGGAAAGGGGTAAGGTTATGAGGGTAACAAAAAGATTAGGTGATGAAAGATTGAATATCAGATTGGAGGGAGAGAGTATTCAGATATTTTGGGGGTGGACGTGTCAGCGGATGGGTCTAAGAAAGATGAGGGGAATCATAGAATTGATGAGGGGAAAAGAGTGAGTGGTGCACTTAGGATCTGTGGAGACAAAGAACTTTGTCCTTGGAGGCAAAGAGGGGAATGTATTAGAGTTTTAGTTTTACCAACGCTCTTATATGGGTGTGAAGCATGGGGGATGAATGTTTCAGCGAGGAGAAGGCTGGAGGCAGTGGAGATGTCATGTCTGAGAGCAATGTGTGGTGTGAATATAATGCAGAGAATTCGTAGTTTGGAAGTTAGGAGGAGGTGCGGGATTACCAAAACTGTTGTCCAGAGGGCTGAGGAAGGGTTGTTGAGGTGGTTCGGACATGTAGAGAGAATGGAGCGAAACAGAATGACTTCAAGAGTGTATCAGTCTGTAGTGGAAGGAAGGCGGGGTAAGGGTCGGCCTAGGAAAGGTTGGAGAGAGGGGGTAAAGGAGGTTTTGTGTGCGAGGGGGCTTGGACTTCCAGCAGGCATGCGTGAGCGTGTTTGATAGGAGTGAATGGAGACAAATGGTTTTTAATACTTGATGTGCTGTTGGAGTGTGAGCAAAGTAACATTTATGAAGGGGTTCAGGGAAACCGGCAGGCCGGACTTGAGTCCTGGAGATGGGAAGTACAGTGCCTGCACTCTGAAGGAGGGGTGTTAATGTTGCAGTTTAAAAACTGTAGTGTAAAGCACCCTTCTGGCAAGACAGTGATGGAGTGAATGATGGTGAAAGTTTTTCTTTTTCGGGCCACCCTGCCTTGGTAGGAATCGGCCAGTGTGATAATAATAATAAAAAAAAAAAACAGCCTGTTAAGTTGTATGTAAAGGAGGTGACCGTGAACAGGGCTGGGTCAAAGTGTTTTTTTTTTTTTTTTTTTTTTTTTTTTTTTATGCAAAGACAATTTTGCTAGTGTTGGGGTATGTGTTTCTTATGATTCTTCTAAGCAAGTGACTGCTCATAACTGTGCTAGCGCCTTTGGCTTCCTAATGAAGGACCCAGGTTTAATCCTGGTATGAGCAAAGATGTTGGTCACATTTCTATATCTTTACTATCCTTGTTTCCATAAATACATACCTGAGTATTAGTTGAATTGGTTGCATCCTGGGGTGGTCATATGGGTATCAGTAATTCCATGAAAGTATGAACTAGAGCTATAATAATGTAGCCATGTTAATTTATATGATAGGGAACATGGAGCTGTACATTTTAAATGCTATTGTATAGTGATATTGATTATGCAGGTACAGTACTGTATGTTACTTTGCTAATAACTAAAAATGTTCTCAACAGAATAGTTATGTCCGAGATCAAGAAGATGTTGATGATTTTAGGATTGGAGAGATCCGGCAACAAGGCAGAGGCTGTAGAAAGATTAATGGCATTCATGCTTGAACCACATGATACAGGAAAAAAGCCTCAGATATCAGGAAAGGTAATGTGATTTTTATTGGGTTGTAATACTCTCAATATATTTTAGGCACTGTGTTAAGCCAGGATCTCTATGAATTCTTGTTTGTTGCCACTTATTTATTTTGACTGTTTAAGGGTTTGTCATTATTAAATATATGCATGTATATGGGTAGTCTTTCTTTTTATATAAACCTTTGACCAGTATTATATAAGGGTTGTTACATGAGTAATCACTCATTTGAGCTTTTGTTGTTCCAGTATTATATTCATAAAGCAGTACTAAACCTAGAAGTGTCATGTAGTGCTTGAGGAATTGGAGGTTGTCGAGTTTTATTAAAGAAAGGAGACAGTATCTCCTATTCTTTGTATCAACAGCTGTTCAAAGCTTCAAGGTGCCTTGAAGGAATTTGTGCTTAAGGAGAGCTCCAGCTCTTTGATCCTCTACATAGTATTATTTAACATACTTTCTAATACAAGGGAATTTCTGCTTATACTTTCAGGACAGGAAATAGCAGGGTTCATGCTATATAATGGCTGAAATTAGGTTTTATACACAATAGAGGAAGATTCTTCCTTGAGTCTAGAAATGCAGTAAACCCTTTAAGACATCAGATTAATCCACTTGGTCAATTGATTTAGAAAAAAAAAAAACATAAAAGTTTGTTACATAATTGTCTGTTGTTTTTATGATCACATCATAACAATGTCATTTCTGTCCATGACTAGCCATTACCCATCACCCACTTTCCTTGATTAGTCTGTTAAGTTGAGGATTCTTTGTATTAGCACTTTGGGAGACAAGTTTTGACATCATATAATTAAAATGAAGGGTTAGATGAAATGCCATAAAGTATTGTTATTTAAAAATAATTTGGCTTTAAACTAGTCTGGGTGTCTTATCCTAGAAGTTTCTTGCATGCTTTGAAGAGAGCAGCACAGTTTTGTTTTTAGAAAAAATAAAATGGTGCAAAGCCTGTTTTAAGTTATAAGTTTTCCATAGAAAACATGATAATGTTTTCTATGGAAAACATATTAAAATAGGAGAAAAAATTTCAGAGAGCTAAAGGGAGAGGAAGACCAAAGAAGGGGCAAGAGAAGAAACGAGAAAACAATACATCTATGAATGACTCGGAGAGTGGTGGAAATGAGAGTAATGAGTCAAATTTGGATGAACGTGAGGAGGAAGTGGATGAGGAAGAAGAGGAGATAGTAGACGAGGAGGATGAGGAGGTAGAAGAAGAAGAAGAGGAAGAAGAAAAACCCAAGAGGACGCCAGCAAGGAAGACTCCGGCTAAGAAAGCACCATCAAAGAGGGCAACATCAGCTAAGAAGGCTGCACCAGTAAGGCGATCCCGAGCTGCTGAGTCTGATGATTCAGATTCAGACGATGAACCTTTGGCCAAAAAAGTCAAGCAACCTCCATCAGTGAGTATTGTTTTCTTTTAAATTGTCACTTTCAAATCATTTCACAAACTGGTTAGCCAGTGGTTATCTGTGAAGTTATTGAAGGATAAGGATGCATTATTGTTTAAGAATTATTTAAATTACAAACAAAAAATGGTCAAAGCTATGAAATATTAACTGTCAATTAGCTTGTCACTGTTAATGAAATAATTGTTACAATTGAAGGTAATGGATGAAATATTCTAATGTATCATTGATATATATAGTATAACATAAAAATGAGTTAATCTCTCTCAATTTTACTGAGAAATTAAGTTATCTGTAGGCTGTATAATACACCTTTTCCCACATACACACTAAGGTGGCACATGTAGACTTCGGGCATTTTAAAATTTGACAATTTTTGCTTACACAAAGTTTTAATTTGGTCAGAGAAATCATTGAGAGATTAATCCAAAGCACCTGTTTAGCTTTTGTTATTGCTGGCTCTAGTTACATATTTGAGTTTTTTGGACTTGGGGGGGGGGGGGGGGAGCTCTAGCTCTTGGGATGCAGCTTAACTTATACAGGTAGGTCACTTAATACAGTAAGAAAGACATAAATGAATGCAGTACTGTAATTTATAAGTAATGAAAAGTAGTACACAAGTTAAAGTAGAATTTGTAGCTTTATTCAAGAGAGAGGTAAAGAGGATGAGAGCCTTAAAATAATTTTGCAACTAAGGATAGAAGCCTAAAAGCATAATCAATAATGAAATGACAATAATATAAACTACAGTGGAACCCCAGATTTCGTACTTAATCCTTTCCAGAAGGTCATTCTAAATCCGAAACGTATGAAAACTGAAGTAATATTTCCCATAAGAAATAATGTAAATCCAAATAATCTGTTCCAGACACCCAAAAATGTTCACAAAAAAAAATAATTTTTTTTAAAGAATAACTATAGTTTTCATACAGAAAACAATGAGAAATAAATCTAAAGCACTAATTTTAATGATAAATGAACATTGCATGCCTTTATTGAAGACTTGTTGGCATATTGAAGAAGACAAGGAGGGGAGAGAGAGTTAAGGTTATTGTTTGGAAAGGGAATTCCCCTTCCATGAGAATTTCAGGCATCAAAGCCCTCTCTGGGGTCACTTACCTTCTTTGTCTTTTACTGGCACTGGGCCCCTGTTGCACTAAAAATCTATCCAGAGAGCTCTCTTTCTGGTGTCTCTTTAAGATTTGCCAAAAATGGGACAAGGTATTGTCACTGAACATGTTGCAGATATGGCTTGTATCAACTTTGTCAGGGTAAAATTTTTCAACAAAAGTTTGTACCTCATTCCACCTTGCACAAATGTCCTTAATCACTGAAGAAGGCACCTTCTCCCCTCTCTCTTCCTCCTCCTCGTCCTCTGAAGCAGTTTCCTCAGCTGCAGTCTGTTGCTGTTCCAGTTGAAGGTCTTGCAGCTCTTCAGTGGTTAGCTCTTCCCTGTGGTCCTCCACCAACTCTTCCACATCCTCGCCATTCACCTCCAACCCCATGAACTTCCCCAAAGACAGTAGATTCCACAACAGGCGTAAGGTCGTCAGGCTCAGCCACAAACCCTTCAAAATCCTTGTCAAGGACACATTCTGGCCACAGTTTTCTCCAAGCAGAGTTCAAAGTCCTGGAAGTCACTCCTTGCCAAGTGTTACCTATAAGGCTTATGCAGTGGAGGATATTGAAGCAATTCCTCCAGAACTCTCTTAGGGTTAAGTCAGTGTCTGAGGTCACTTCAAAGCACCTTTTGAAACATTGCTTTCGTGTAGAGTTTTTTGAAGTTAGAAATGACCTGCTGGATGAGAGGAGTGGTGTTAGAAGGCAAGAACTTCACTGTTATAAAACTGAAGGCCTTAATCAACTGGTCTTCCAAGTCTGGAGGATGAGCAGGAGCATTGTCCAGTACCAGGATGCATTTAAGTGGCAAGTTATTTTCCAAAAGGTATTTTTTCACACTGGCCAAACACTTCACAGACCCAGTCAATGAAAATTTGCCTTGTGACCCATGCCTTATTATTAGCTTTCCACCTCACACACAGTTGACTTTTGATGACATTGTTTTTCTTGAACGCTTGGGGATTTTCAGAGTGATACACCAGTAAAGGCTTCACTTTGAAATCCCCGCTAGCGTTACCACAGAACAAAAGAGTTAGCCTATCCTTCATAGGCTTGTCCTGGCAGTGTTTTTTCCTTCTGCGTTATGTAGGTCCTCTTTGGCATTTTCTTCCAAAAGAGGCCTGTTTCGTCACAATTGAACACTTGTTGGGGGAGGAATCCTTTAGCCTCTATGTACTCCTTGAATTCATCAGTGAATTCTTCGGCTGCATGTTTGTCTGAACTTGCAGCCTCACCATGCCTTACAACACTGTGTATGCCACTACGCTTCTTTAATCTGTCGAACCAGCCTCTGCTGGTCTTAAATTCACTAGCAGCCGCACTCATTCCAGGCATTTTCTTTGAGGTCCGCATGCAACTGCCTTGCCTTTTCCCAAATGATCGCCTCCACAACACCATCTCCCACTCCTTTTTTGTTGAGCCTCGCCAACAACACCTTCTCCACATCTTTGATTGTTTGTGATCTCTGTTTCGTTAGCATATTCACCCCTTTCGCAACTTTAGCTTCCATGATTTCTTCTTCCCGTACATTCTAACAAGCTCGGCTAAATGTATGCCACTCGTATTTTTCTACAATCTCTTTCTTCAATTCTATCAGGTTTCTCACTTTCTTTACCAAAGGACTGGCACTAGGAACTTTCCTTGGGCCCATGGTGGCTTATTTTGCAGTTGCAATCAGTAAACAAGCACAAAAATTGCGAAATGTTTTGGATGAATGCACACTCAACCAGTGACAAAGCCAGACTGAGGCGGCGTTCCGGCGGGCGAACGCGTCTGATATGTTCGATTCCTGGGACAAAGTACGAAATCCGTAGCAAAATTTCGCCCAAAAAAGTGTTCTAAATCCGAAACGTCCGATATCCGGTGCGTGCGAAATCCGGGGTTCCACTGTGATGAAAGGTGAAACTGCTGATGGAAGTGCTGACATGTAATGAAAGATGTATTTAGAATACACTATGTAAGAGAGCAGAACTCTGGGTGGATTGTTGGGCAAAATAAAAAAGAATAATGTATAGATATTTAGCTCTGGGGAAAAGGTGATGTAATCGATAACCTTTACAGGATGCAGAACTTAAAATAATGGTGAAGAAAATTTTAGAAGGTGCCAATTTGGAAGAAGTGACGATGAAGAGTGTATGTCGACAAGTGTATGATAATTATCCTGACTTTGACCTTACTCACAAGAAAGTCTTCATTAAGGAAACTGTGAAATCTGTAAGTATCCCCAACTCAGCTAGGTCACTGTGCTCACTTTTTTTTATTTACATACACCACAGTCCCATTACACATAACACTTTACCATGGAAAATGCACATAAATAAATACTGTACTTGACCTTTTTCTTCTTTTTTATCATTTGTATGTCTTAAGAAGATTCGGTATCTAATTATCACTGTCAGTTGTGACATTTTTGACAAATTTTATTGCAAAAAAAAAAAAGAATACTTTTTCATTTTTGTTAAGAGCAGAGGAATACAAGTTTTAATCTAATGGGATAAAATTTGAAGTACTGTTATACTCTAGTTTGACATGACAAGACCATGTTTTTTATTTTTGAAAGACTGTTCTGCATAGATGTTCATAAATAAAATTTTCAAAGCAGTCTCATGAGTTAAATTTTGTGTATCTGACTGCAAATAATATTTAAGATTACATATAAACATGTTCAGCTTTGTTTTGTAAGATATTTTTATTTCTTTGCTAAATTAACTTTGTTGTGTGTATATATATTTTTTTTTTTTTTTCCAGATAATATCGTGATTGGTCAGCTTTACCAGCGTTAAGTATAGTACAAATTGTTCATATAATGCTTTTTATTGTAGAGTTAAACAAAATTATGAAAATCTGTACGAATATGGCAGTTAAAATCTTTTAAGACCTCATCAGTTACATGAAAGTTATTTAATTTGGTAGTGTTAATGGCACCTGCCTTTTATCCCTGTGTTCTTTCTCTTAAGTAATTGCTTTGGCACAAATTCACATCTGAGCAAATGTGAAAAGTTCTTCACCTAAGACTTTACCCATCTATGAGCCACTGTTATTTTCATTTACTGTAAAATAGTTTTCTGATTTTTTAAATGTCTCAGTGTAACCAAATTTTCTCTAATTTTGGTAAAAAAAAAAAAAAAGTTAAGCTAAAAAGTTCACTGCTGCAGTTCAGTTTGCTTCTCGCTTTTACAACATTTTAATAAAATATAGGCTTAGGAAGATTTACGATAACATTTCTTTGTTGAGCCTAACTGATGCAAACGTCAATAGTTGCTTACTAATTAGTGTTGTGGTACTTAAAGAAAAATCTGGCTGTGTTCTACTATAGTTACTCTTCTTGGTGAGAAGTATCACATAATAACACTATTCGCAAGACTTAAGGGATGATGAAAAACTTTAAATTAAGCAGTTTTAAGAGGCTCTCTTCATGCATTTGTGCTATTCCTTTGCTGATCTGACGTGTGATACTTTTTTAAACAGAGTGCATCAAACTTATTGGATGTTAACTATAAAATAACCTGGGAATGGATTTTCATATGCTTGGTGTAATGGTATTGTCCAGTGTAATATTATTACCTAGTTCAATAGTATTGCCTGGTGTAATATTATAGCCCAGTGTAATAGTATCACCCAGTGTAATAGTATTGCCCAGTGTAATATTACCTAGTGTAATAGTATTGCCCAGTGTAATAGTATTGCCCAGTGTAATATTACCTAGTGTAATAGTATTGCCCAGTGTAATAGTATCACCCAGTGTAATAGTATTGCCCAGTGTAATATTACCTAGTGTAATAGTATTGCCCAGTGTAATAGTATTGCCCAATGTAATATTACCTAGTGTAATAGTATTGCCCACTGCAATATCATTACCCAGTGTAATAGTATTGCCCAGTGTAATAGTATTGCCCAGTTTAATATTATTACATAGTGTAATAGTACTACCCAGTGTAATAGTATTGCCCAGTGCAATATCATTACCCAGTGTAATAGTATTACCCAGTGTAATATTATTGCCCAGTGTAATATTATTACCCAGTGTAATAGTACTGCCCATTGTAATAGTATTGCCCACTGTAATAGTATTGCCCATTGTAATAGTATTGCCCATTGTAATAGTATTGCCCATTGTAATAGTATTGCCTAGTGTAATATTATTACCCAGTGTAATAGTATTGCCCAGTGTAATAGTATTGCCCAGTGTAATAGTACTGCCCAGTGTAATAGTATTGTCCAGTGTAATAGTATTGCCCAGTGTGATATTGCTGCCCAGTGTAATAGTATTGCCCAGTGTAATAGTATTGTCCAGTGTAATATTATTGCCCAGTATAATAGTATTGCCCAGTGTGATATTACTGCCCAGTGTAATAGTATTGCCCAGTGTAATAGTACTGCCCAGTGTAATAGTATTGCCCAGTGTAATAGTATTGCCATGTGTAATAGTATTACCCAGTGTAATAGTATTGCCCAGTGTAATAGTATTGCCCAGTGTAATAGTATTACCCAGTGTAATAGTATTGCCCAGTGTAATAGTATTACCCAGTGTAATAGTATTGCCCAGTGTAATAGTATTATCCAGTGTAATAGTATTGCCCAGTGTAATAGTATTGCCCAGTGTAATAGTACTGCCCAGTGTAATAGTATTGCCCAGTGTAATAGTATTGCCCAGTGTGATATTACTGCCCAGTGTAATAGTATTGCCCAGTGTAATAGTATTGCCCAGTGTAATAGCATTGCCCAGTGTGATATTACTGCCCAGTGTAATAGTATTGCCTAGTGTAATAGTATTGCCCAGTGTGATATTACTGCCCAGTGTAATATCATTGCCCAGTGTAATATCATTGCCCAGTGTAATAGTATTGCCCAGTGTAATAGTATTGCCCAGTGTAATAGTATTGCCCAGTGTGATATTACTGCCCAGTGTGATATTACTGCCCAGTGTGATATTACTGCCCAGTGTGATATTACTGCCCAGTGTAATAGTATTGCCCAGTGTAATAGTATTGCCCAGTGTAATAGTATTGCCCAGTGTTATAGTATTGCCCAGTGTAATATTGCCCAGTGTAATAGCATTGCCCAGTGTGATATTACTGCCCAGTGTAATAGTATTGCCTAGTGTAATAGTATTGCCCAGTGTGATATTACTGCCCAGTGTAATAGTATTGCCCAGTAATAGCATTGCCCAGTGTAATATTATTGCCCAGTGTAATATTATTGCCCAGTGTAATAGTATTGCCCAGTGTAATAGTATTGCCCAGTGTAATAGTATTGCCCAGTGTAATAGTATTGCCCAGTGTGATATTACTGCCCAGTGTGATATTACTGCCCAGTGTAATAGTATTGCCCAGTGTGATATTGCTGCCCAGTGTAATAGTATTGCCCAGTGTAATAGTATTGCCCAGTGTAATAGTATTGTCCAGTGTAATATTATTGCCCAGTATAATAGTATTGCCTAGTGTGATATTACTGCCCAGTGTAATAGTATTGCCCAGTGTAATAGTACTGCCCAGTGTAATAGTATTGCCCAGTGTAATATTATTACCCAGTGTAATAGTACTGCAAATTGTAATAGTATTGCCCAGTGTAAAAGTATTGCCATGTGTAATAGTATTAACCAGTGTAATAGTATTACCCAGTGTAATAGTATTGCCCAGTGTAATAGTATTACCCAGTGTAATATTGCCCAATGTAATATTACCCAGTGTAATAGAATTGCCCAGTGTAATATTGCCCAGTGTAATAGTATTACCCAGTGTAATAGTATTGCCCAGTGTAATAGTATTACCCATTGTAATAGTATTGCCCAGTGTAATAGTATTGCCCAGTGTAATAGTACTGCCCAGTGTAATAGTATTGCCCAGTGTAATAGTATTGCCCAGTGTGATATTACTGCCCAATGTAATAGTATTGCCCAGTGTAATAGTATTGCCCAGTGTAATAGTATTGCCCAGTGTTATACTATTGCCCAGTGTGATAGTATTGCCCAGTGTAATAGCATTGCCCAGTGTAATAGCATTGCCCAGTGTAATGTTATTGCCCAGTGTAATATTATTGCCCAGTGTAATAGTATTGCCCAGTGTGATAGTATTGCCCAGTGTGATATTACTGCCCAGTGTGATATTACTGCCCAGTGTGATATTACTGCCCAGTGTAATAGTATTGCCCAGTGTAATAGTATTGCCCAGTGTAATAGTATTGCCCAGTGTAATAGTATTGCCCAGTGTTATAGTATTGCCCAGTGTAATAGTATTGCCCAGTGTAATAGCATTGCCCAGTGTGATATTATTGCCCAGTGTAATAGTATTGCCTAGTGTAATAGTATTGCCCAGTGTGATATTACTGCCCAGTGTAATAGTATTGCCCAGTGTAATAACATTGCCCAGTGTAATATTATTGCCCAGTGTAATATTATTGCCCAGTGTAATAGTATTGCCCAGTGTGATAGTATTGCCCAGTGTAAGAGTATTGCCCAGTGTGATATTACTGCCCAGTGTGATATTACTGCCCAGTGTAATAGTATTGCCCAGTGTAATAGTATTGCCCAGTGTAATATTATTGCCCAGTGTAATAGTATTGCCCAGTGTGATATTACTGCCCAGTGTAATACTACTGCCCAGTGTAATACTACTGCCCAGTGTAATAGTATTGCCCAGTGTAATAGTATTGCCCAGTGTAATAGTATTGCCCAGTGTGATATTACTGCCCAGTGTAATAGTATTGCTCAGTGTAATAGTATTGCCCAGTGTAATAGTATTGCCCAGTGTAATAGTATTGCCCAGTGTGATATTACTGTCCAGTGTAATAGCATTGCCCAGTGTAATAGTATTGCCCAGTGTGATATTACTACCCAGTGTAATAGTATTACCCAGTGTAATAGCATTGCCCAGTGTAATAGTATTGCCCAGTGTGATATTACTGCCCAGTGTAATAGTATTGCCCAGTGTAATAGTACTGCCTAGTGTAATAGTATTGCCCAGTGTAATAGTATTGCCCAGTGTAATAGTATTGCCCAGTGTAATAGTATTGCCCAGTGTAATAGTATTGCCCAGTGTAATAGTATTACCCAGTGTAATAGTATTACCCAGTGTAATAGTATTACCCAGTGTAATAGTATTGCCCAGTGTAATAGTATTGCCCAGTGTAATAGTACTGCCCAGTGTAATAGTACTGCCCAGTGTAATAGTATTGCCCAGTGTAATAGTATTGCACAGTGTGATATTATGCCCAGTGTAATGTATTACCAGTGTAATAGTATTACCCAGTGTAATAGTATTGCCCAGTGTAATAGTATTGCCCAGTGTAATAGTATTGCCCAGTGTAATAGTACTGCACAGTGTAATAGTTCTGCTCAGTGTAATAGTACTGCCCAGTGTAATAGTATTGCCCAGTGTAATAGTATTGCCCAGTATAATAGTATTGCCCAGTGTGATATTACTGCCCAGTGTAATAGTATTGCCCAGTGTAATAGTATTGCCCAGTGTAATAGTATTGCCCAGTGTAATAGTATTGCCCAGTGTAATAGTATTGCCCAGTGTAATAGTATTGCACAGTGTGATATTACTGCCCAGTGTAATAGTATTACCCAGTGTAATAGTATTGCCCAGTGTAATAGTACTGTCCAGTGTAATAGTATTACCCAGTGTAATAGTATTACCCAGTGTAATAGTATTACCCAGTGTAATAGTATTACCCAATGTAATAGTATTGCCCAGTGTAATAGTATTACCCAGTGTAATAGTATTTTACCCAGTGTAATAGTATTACCCAGTGTAATAGTATTGCCCAGTGTAATAGTATTGCCCAGTGTAATAGTATTGCCCAGTGTAATAGTATTACCCAGTGTAAATAGTATTGCCCAGTGTAATAGTATTGCCCAGTGTAATAGTATTGCCCAGTGTAATAGTATTGCCCAGTGTAATAGTATTACCAGTGTAATAGTATTGCCCAGTGTAATAGTATTGCCCAGTGTAATAGTATTGCCCAGTGTAATAGTATTACCCAGTGTAATAGTATTGCCCAGTGTAATAGTATTGCCCAGTGTAATAGTATTGCCCAGTGTAATAGTATTACCCAGTGTAATAGTATTGCCCAGTGTAATAGTATTGCCCAGTGTGAATAGTATTACCCAGTGTAATAGTATTACCCAGTGTAATAGTATTGCCCAGTGTAATAGTATTACCCAGTGTAATAGTATTGCCCAGTGTAATAGTATTGCCCAGTGTAATAGTATTGCCCAGTGTAATAGTATTGCCCAGTGTAATAGTATTGGCCCAGTGTAATAGTATTACCCAGTGTAATAGTATTGCCCAGTGTAATAGTATTGCCCAGTGTAATAGTATTACCCAGTGTAATAGTATTGCCCAGTGTAATAGTATTGCCCAGTGTAATAGTATTACCCAGTGTAATAGTATTACCCAGTGTAATAGTATTGCCCAGTGTAATAGTATTAGCCCAGTGTAATAGTATTACCCAGTGTAATAGTATTCCCAGTGTAATAGTATTGCCCAGTGTAATAGTATTGCCCAGTGTAATAGTATTGCCCAGTGTAATAGTATTGCCCAGTGTAATAGTATTGCCCAGTGTAATAGTATTGCCCAGTGTAATAGTATTGCCCAGTGTAATAGTATTACCCAGTGTAATAGTATTGCCCAGTGTAATAGTATTACCCAGTGTAATAGTATTGCCCAGTGTAATAGTAT